AATTAAACAAGTAATGGTTATTAAATGTCAAAAATGTTAAGAGTAATTGAAATTATAGTAAAAATGATAATTATTAATTTTAGTAAGTAATATCAATTGATGTATTTAAAAAAAAAAATGAGGTAGTAATATGGTAGTAATAATATGGACAGAGAAAGTATCAATTCAGCTAATGTTTAAGCAAACAATAGTAAATAAGAAAATTACATAAGGTGACTTATGCTTACTAGTAAAATCACAAAATGAGGTAGTTGATTATTTAATTACTAAGAGATTGAAACAATGAAATTTGAACAATAATGGAGCAAAACATACACTACACTACGTAGGCTTTTAAGTTGGACATTGTTTAGTTATTCTCTGTAAGATTAGTATCCCTGAGAAATCGTGATAGATCATTCTCGTTCGTGATTGTGTACAGTTGACCTACATTTGTTTTCCTAACAAAAAATTTTCCCATCCCGTGTGAAGCATTGGTTTATTGTGTCGTTATTCTCCCGCTTAAGTTTTTGACTCTATACAGGAGGTTCTGACGTTTTTTGGTAAGACATCGTTTATGTATACCTCTTCTTTACTTTAATAGATGCAATAATTAAGTCTTTTTTCCTGTCATGTGAGTGGATCTAAGCATAACACTTTTTCTACCATGGGATCCTAGTAACCTGGCTTCTTTTATTTCAGACTCTGGTACAATAACACTTGTTTGTCCTTTATGATCTGCAGAGTAATTTCTTTACTGTTTGTTTGGTTCATATCACTGGAAAAAGTGGACTGTTAACTATTACTGCGTCCGATAGTTTATCTTGTTCAGTTTTATCTTGGAAGCAAAGTAGTCACTGAACTGGTTATCTAAATTTCTTCCATTCTTTTACTGCTTCTTCAACCTTTGTATTAAGAGATATTATTTGTTGGGGATGGCTATCTATGACTGTCTGGATGGTCTTGTCACAGTTAGTCATTCCTGGTGTTGATAACTTTTGTTCAAGACTGAGGATTTTGTTCTCGAGTTGTGGCATCCTGGTGTCTTGTTTTGTTAGCGTCTCTCGAAGATTCATATTTTCAATAACAAAGTTGGAGATGCATGTCTTTAGGGTATCTGGATCGTTGGTCATACCTGAGAGACTAAATTGGTAGGTTGAATCCGGGGAAGAGAGGGGAGGATGGAGGGTGGCTGCAATGTTGTTGTTATTGTTGTGGTGTGGCCTTGAGTGGTGGTGAGTGGGGTGGTTTGCTGGGCCCGGCGTCCTTCTGGCTACACTTGTTGAATAGTTGATTTTTCGGTGTTTTCTTGCTGGCCTTGGTTTCTGTTTCCTCTTAGATTGCGCCTCATAATACTACAGGAATTGTTGTAGTTAAGAAGAAGTTGTAGTTATACAAAGCTTAGGGTTACGTTGTTCGGCTGGCAGCGGGGTGTTGCTTTCGGTTTGTGGGCAGTCTTCCTTTGATCTCTATTATTTTCGATTTGTAGGTTTCACTGTTGGTAATCTTTGGTCATTCTGGGTGCTACGTTGGGTAGTGCAGTTTTGCTTGTAACTAGGTCATCATAGGAGCATTGGTAGCTCTGATAGTTGGAGAAAAGTACGGAGCTTGGAAGTCGCTGCTGCCGCTGCCAAAATCGGATTACCGCTAACCAGAACTTCTAATTTTATCATGAATTTTGTCTATAATTACAATGGGATAAATATATCATCCTGCGTGGTTATTATCAAGCACGTACAACAGGGATAAAAAAAAGTTTGTTAATCAGGTATGAAAACGTCAGTCGATCATGACTTGAGAAAACAGTTTTTTGAGTAGTAACCTTGTATACTGCAGTCTCGTGTACCCAGCTTAGCGCCAACTGACCTACACTCGGGGTGTCTGACAGCAGGATCTTGATCCAGTCTCGTTAAATCGAACATAATTGATTGAAAATAAGACTTGAGTTGTGCCTACAATGTGTATTGTTACATATCTGCTATAAGTTCCAGAGATTATGGGGCTCTCAGCTGCTCTCAAACCAATCTTCCTTTAAAATGACAAGGAAATACAAAGTACTACTAAAAAAACGAATTAATAAGAGCACAGGAAAGTAAACCGAATGTACGTAAAAGATCTGTAAATTTTAGTTTTCATTTTATGTGTTACCGAACAGAAACAAACGATAAGCAATCCCCGTCAGTGCAAAATATTTGACAGTCTTCACTTAAAAAGGCTTTAGTTTACACTTATGAGAGGACAGTAAACTTGCTGCACAGTACTGTCTTCTGTTTTCGAGGCAAAAAGCGGCATATAAAAAATAAATAAAATATTTGGGGGAAAGACTATATATCTTCGAGCTAACAAGAGGAAAATAGTATTGTATCCAAAGTATTTAAGTTTCAAAGTAAATGTTATTGTCGACGAAAATATTTGTTTCTGTGAACATTTGTGATCAGTTCCATTTGTTTTGTGTAGTCACATGCCATTATCTTCACTCTCATCGCCACATTTGGAACTGTGCAGAGATCTGTTATATAGCCAAGCTTTTAACTCTTGGGTTCTACAGTCAAGCTTTTAACATCTGGGTTCAACAGCCAAGCTTTTAACCCTTGGGTTCTACAGCCAAGCTTCCTTTTGGTTCTTCAGCCAAGCTTTTAACCTCTGGGTTCTTCAGCCAAGCTTTTAACCTCTGGGTTCCACAGCCAAGCTTTTAACCTTGGGCTACACGGGCCAAAAAAAATGCCTTTTATTATTTAAAAATTTGGAAAATTAAGATTGAAAAAAAATCTAGATTTTCAATTTGGTGCCAACAAACATTAACAATAATTAACAGGTCACTGACTTCAGGAGAAATTTTAGGAAGGTGCCATCATGGGGAGTGCCTTGGTCCCGGTGGAGAGCTGTTGATCCAAGGAATAAGAGCTACCCTCCCCTTCCTTGGATCAATCCTAAATACTTCCCATTCCCCAGGCTCTGTATGACCCCTATGAATTTAGCGCTTCCCCGTGAATTTAATCTCGAGAAGTGCCTGTGGTACGTAGGACTGAACGTAGTAAGCACCAACAGCCTGACCGATCAAGTCATCAACAGGGAAGTCTGGTCTGGGACCGGGCAGCGGAAGCAATGAACTCTGGATCATCTACAGGTAACCTACAAGTTATAGTGACTTTTCTTTTTATTAGACCTCAGTTAATCAACTTCCAAAGAGACTAATGTTTATGTTGGGATGTATGTAAGTGTTGTGTACCATGACAGAAGGTTTGGTTCAGTAGCTTCAAAGTTGATTTGTTGCACGAGGATCATTAAGGCTGAATTACTCCTGAACGCCACCAATCAAGAGCATATTATTCCCAGAAAAACCAGGATTAAAACAAACTTTTAGTGTATATATCCTGAGATATACACACACCTCTCATTGCAGATTCACTGAAATATATACACTTCTTACTGAAGATACACTGAGAGATACACAGAGTATATGTCTTAGCGTACAGACACTAGGAGATACACACCTCTCAATGTATATATCCTGACAAGAGGATGGAGCTTACGTCAAGAGTGTGGCAGTGAGCCAGAACTTACGTGGTACAGCCTCCACTTCTTAGAAGAAAATGTTAAAATAATTGTCTTGTGATATAACATACGTTATATTACAAGCCCCAAGAGGGATGACGATCCTCTTTTAACTGCTTCGTCTTAATTCTTATTGGCCTCTATATTAGTTATACATGACTTTAACACGAATGCAAATAAAATGATGCGAGGGGTTAACGCACTGGCCTGTGAGTTTTAAGACTTGCTTGCCAGGGCTCAAACTCCATCCTTTCCGGAATTTATAAGAACATAGGAACATAAGAAAGGAGGAACACTGCAACAGGCCTGTTGGCCCATACTGGGCAAGTCCTTCACAAATTCAATCCACTAACACAATATTTGCCCAACCCACTTTAGTTCTACACTAACAATAAACTCTGATAAATCCACTAACTCAAGTGCAACCCCTGAGTTTATTATCACAAATAAGACTCCAGCCACACTGTCGTTGCCCTACTGCTGGTAACACTAAAACAAACATACTATATGGGAACAATGTTTTGCTGATCACTTGATAAACCTCTACATAGAGCCAAAAGCTGCCCCAAGAAAAGCATAATTTGCAACATATCTTCATTTAGCGAGCTAGTAACATATTTGTAGGTACAAATATGTGATTAGAAAGTACTTCACTTTGAGATAATTAATTCTTAACAAAAACCTTTTTTCGCTTATTCAGTCACTATGAGTAGCAAACTTTAGCTAACTTTCCTTAGCTAATATATAATATATATATATATATATATATATATATATTATATATATTATATATATATATATATTATATATATATATATATATATATATAATTGGTCAGTTTGAAAGAACTCATTTAAAATTAAGTCCTTTCTATTATTATTATTATAATCAAAAAGAAGCGCTAAGCCACAAGGGCTATACAGCAAGTCCTTTCTAAATATGCGTTTAAAGATATATATTTTTTCATTTATGTTAAAGTAAAAATTAATAATTTTGTAACAAAAGAACCTTAGAAAACTTACTTAACCTTATTAAAACAAGCTTAATTTAACTTAGCCTAACCCAACTAAATATATTCTAGATAAGTTGACAATAATTTGATAATAAACAAACACAATGAAATATATTTTTTCTTCAGGTTCAGAATAATTTTTTTGCGAAATTATAGCATACACAAATTTTCGCTTGCCATATTCGGCAAGAAGAGCGTTGCAATTTAAGGCAAAGTCGCAAGTTTAACCTATTCGCCACCACAACATATATATGGTTCCAGTGTTTTCTCAGTTGACGTTCTCCTTACGTAATATTTAAAGAATTAACGTCATATCTTGAAAATTAAGCTAGCACACAAGCTGAGAAAATCGTCCCTGATTGCTAGTCTCTGACTAAGCCTAGTTGATATCCTGTTTTTATCAAATATTTCACACACTAAATGAACATCCTGCAACTGGGGGCAGCATACGTACCGAGAACATCTTGAAAACCTGAACTTCAGAGTAGATAAAACCGTAACCTCTGCGGTAGCCGGTAGGCAGACTCAGGCTCACATCCTTCATATACTGAGAGAGTAACACCATCAACACAGTGGTCCTGAAAAGCAGGTTCGAAGTGGAACAGCATGTAAATGCTGACAGGGTATATTCAATGACAATGAGATGCAGCTAATATTGTCACTAACCACAACGTTGTGCCTGCACAGTGGCTTCATCAAGACCCATGCTTTAGTAAAACGTTTCTGTTAATTGAGGCCTCCACTGCATTTTAGTGTCATCTACTCCAAGGTAAGTTAGAAATATATAAAATAAATCTATCCTTACATCACTAGCATTCAGTGGTTGATGTATATAGTTAAAAATCCTTTTTACCCTAAATCATGTAAACACAAGAACCAAGATCAATATTTGAAGTGTACAAACTATACAACAAATCTCATGCACATTTACCTGTTATTATTTTAGTAGTATAATTAGGATTAGTATTTTCATTACCACCATAAATTTCGATAGGGTACCCGTCGTTAAATCAGTACCTTGGTTCATTAACCAATCACAGGCAAGGCCGCCAAAGCTGGAACAACGTGGTTCACTTGCAGTAAGCATTGGCAGACTTCCCTAGTTGCTGGTTGAATATGATGCGCTCTGACTTCTGCTTTGCCATCTGTCATCGTGGTGTACACTTATTATTCTATCTGTACATATTGTACATACCTGTATATAGAGGGTGAAGGCAATTATATATTATAGTCAACTGCTGAGTTTGTTTGCTCCAGTTCCAATTACGACCAGGTGTCACAGGCCATTTATTACCTGCGTTCGTAATACAAGGACATAAACTTACAACAAAGACAGAAACTCACAACACGGTCGAAGACTTAAAATGACACGGACGTATGACAAGGACGGGGACTTACGACATGGACACGCTCCAGTGTTGAGAGGATCGGTCAGCCGCCAGATCGAAGAGAGAGAGACCGACAAGGGAGACTGTAGGAATGATGGTAAGAGGAGTGATCCACTTAAGCATTACACCAATCACACCTGTGGAGGGAACACATAATTAGCTAGCTAGACGAAGACTGAGCTAGAAGGCCACGGGCCTAAAGCTCAAAGGGAACCATCTGCAAATAATACAAAAACCAGTTACGGCATTCATCTGTTTACAGTAGAGGAAATTTGATTAATATAATCATTAACAGCAGGATACATCTTTACGAAAACCTACAGAGCATTGACAATCAATCTATGAAACCTCTACAAACATTTAGTGACCCGCTAGTTGACAAAATACAATCACTGTTATGTGTTTCATTGTCAACAAGCTGATTTTCTTTCAACTTGTGATAGTTCATTGCACTGCTACATCCATCGAGTAAGAGATTAGCCAGAAAAAAATAAAAAGTCTTTGACGAGGTAGTTGCAGAAAGTTCAAGAACCATGTGGAGACGAACCTGTAAAACCAAGAATGATCTGGAAAACGGAAGACACTGCAATGTTGCCTTGTATAGCCCTCATCCTAGCCTGCCACTCCTCCTGCTGCTGCGCTGCCGTCAGGTTGGCAGCCCTCTGGCTCTCGCAAGACGCGAAGTTGGCCGACAGTAGCGCCACGGTCGGGATGAGGTACGCAAAGTTACCACCTTGCACGATTGGCAGCCTGGGAGAGAGAGAGAGAGAGAGAGAGAGAGAGGAGGAGGAGAGAGAGGGATGAGAGAGAGAGGAGAGAGGAGAGAGAGAGAGAGAGAGAGAGAGAGAGAGAGAGAGAGAGAGAGAGAGAGAGAGATTAGATTAGATTTTGCCACCGAAGTGGCTAGTTTATTGTGCACCCCATATCCATCCTGTGGACGGTAGCGCGAGAGCATATGGATACACAAAAGGCCCTAGGAACTAGGCCCCAAAGGGTTAACAGGAATACATATGGATTTATATCTACATATCTATAGTTTACTTATCTGTTACATGCAAATTTAGGAAATTTGCTTAGTATATCTGGTATCTTATTTTCATTAATAAGATATCTTGACATGTCACATAGGTTATTATACTGTCTGTCTCTGTATTCCTCAATAAGTGGACAATTAAGCACATAGTGTTCAAGAGAGTGACCATATGCCTGATCACATAATTTACATTTAGTTTGATCATCATCTGTGTCTCCCAAACTGCCAGAAGTACTTTAACCAAGCTAAGCCTGGCCACTACAACATTAGTCAGTCTTGTATCCATTGCCAAAGTTGCACTACATCATAACATACTTATCTACGTTCATGTTATCATAGTGGGTTATAGATCTACTCAGGCTTCTAACTGCGTTCTTATTACAATCATTTTCATTATTTACTTCTCTCCTAATATTATTCCTAATGCTAGACACAGTTATACCAAAGTTATATTCTACATTCTCCTTCTGGGTACTCTTCTTGGCTAACATATCAACTTTATCATGAAGGAGTAATCCAATGTGTGATGGGATCCATAGTTAGTTTAATATATTTATTATGCACCCCATACCCATTCTGGAGGCGGTAGTCGAAAGATTACAGAGGTACATAATGGGTCCAGGGACTAGGCCTCAAAGTTTTGATAGCCGAGCAAGTTACAAAGGTAATGAACTCACAATTTACAAAGGTAATGAAATCAAATTTAAAAAGGTAAATGAACCCCAGGTGGTTGGGTCACACTAAAAGTTAAAAGGCTTTAAATTTAAGAGGTACGCAAGGGCCCAAGGACTGGGCCCCCAAAATTTTGATAGCTAAACTAGGAAAGGAATGAACTACAAGTTACAAAAGTAATAAAATCCTGAAAGTATCGTTACTTAGTTTTACTGGCTACGATTGAAAAAAAAAATTATAGAGTAATAAGAAATTCACACTTCCCACCCGGGCCAACTGGATGAGTTTTTGGTGCAAAAATTGTTGTTTAGTCACACCACAACCTTCTGGCGAGTACACACACACCACAACCCCACACACACCCTTTCTAGGCGAGTACACCACACAAACCCCACACACACCCTTTTAGGCGAGTACAATACACACAACACACACCACCCTTACTAGGCGAGTACACAACACACACACCACACCACCCCTTTCTAGGCGAGTCACACCAAAAGCAATACACACACCAAAAACCCAAAAAACCCACACACACAACACACACACACACACATACACACACACCCCTTATAGGGGGTACACACACACACACACGCCAAAAAAACACACACACCACACACCCCCACAACACACAACAGTAGCAACCCGGGGAAGAGGCGGGGCCCCGGGGTAAGACTGACCCTGCAACCACAAATAGGTGAGTACACACATCATACACACACACACACACCTTACAGGAGGTACCACACACACACACTGCAAAAAGGGAAAAATAAATTGAATGAGTGGAACACAAAGGAAAAGCAGTGCGAGAATGAAAGGGAGAGGTCAGTCTTTGTTATGGGCTCCAGGAAATTGAAGGGGAAACATGAAGCAAGAAAACAAGGGAAAAAAAAAGCAATTAAAACATCATAAAAGCAATAGGGGGATAAGACCCAGCTGGAAAAATTTTTTGGGGTGTGGGGGTTTGCAATTAGAAGAACCCCGGGCCCGTGAAAGGGCTTTCAAGGCAGAATTATCGGAACGGACCCGCAGGACAAAAAAGATTAAGGGAATGCCAGATACAGGGGGGTGTACTCGACCGTGACGAACAAAAGAAAGGGAGAAATGGAGAGTGGTAAAAGGTGGGAAAAGGGGGAAAGAGAGGGGATGGGGGACGACAGGAGATCCCCGACCCAAGAAGATCAAATACAGCCCCTCCAAATTCCTATAAAGCCCCAACCCGGTCAACCCCAGGGCAAAAAAACATTCTAAAAAAAAAAAAACCCCCGTGCCCTATCCCAAAACCCCCCTGTTTTCAAAATCCCCCCCACACAACCCCCATTTTCCTATCAGGTCTCCACTTCCCAACCCCCTATACCCCCCCGACCACAGTCTTAGAAAAGAAGTTGAAGGTGTGGTATACAAATGCAGATGGAATAACAAATAAGTGTGAGGAGTGGCATGAAAGAATCAAGGAGGCATCCCTAGACATAATAGCACTCACAGAAACAAAACTCACCAGAATGATAACAGATGCTATCTTTCCATCCGGATATCAAATTCTCAGGAAAGACAGAGGGAGGAGAGGGGGAGGAGGAGTAGCACTGCTCATTAAAAACCAGTGGGGGTTTGAGAAAATGGAAGGAATGGATGGCACGGGCGAAAGGGACTACTTAGTAGGAACAATCCAGTCTGAGGGACATAAGGTGATAATTGCAGTAATGTACAACCCACCACAGAACTGCAGGAGGCCAAGAGAAGAATACAATGAGAGCAACAGGGCAATGGTCGACACACTAGCCGAGGTGGCCAGAAGAGCACACATGGGGGAGCAAAGTTACTAGTTATGGGTGATTTCAATCACAAGGAGATTGACTGGGAAAACCTGGAGCCCCATGGGGGTCCCAAAATATGGAGAGCCAAGATGATGGATGTGGTACTGGAAAACCTCATGCATCAACATGTTACAGACACCACCAGAGAGAGAGGTGAGGATGATCCAGCAAGACTGGACCTTGTATTCACCTTGAGTAGTTCGGACATGAGGATATCGTGTATGTAAGGCCCTAGGAGCCCCTAGTGACTCATGTGCGTTCTGCTGCCCTCTTTTTGACTACTTAGTTGGATGGAATTGGATGCGAAAAACCAAACAGTCAAAAGGGGGAAACGACTCTGGCATGGGAGGAACTTCCTGCCATAGACATTCAGTGGTGAGAGGGACTGACAGGAAAACCAGTACCAAGAAATGATGCCGACTTATGTGACAACAAATGACAAAGAAGGCCAAGAGGAAGGTTTTGTTCCCACGGGAAAGCAGAAATAATGGGAAGAACTAGAAACGAGTCCTTCGCGTTCACCCAAAGTACTGTAGGGAGGCAAATATAACTAGGATGTCACTAGAGAAGGGAAAAAGGTTACAGAAGACAGAAGGAACTCAGGTAAAATAAGAGATTAGCCGAAGAGCAACAAGAACGAATATGCACAGCATAAGAAGGGAGGCCTCAGCGACAATATGAAAATGAAAATGACATAGCATCGAAAGTCAAGTCTGACCCCGAAGATGTTGTATAGCCACATCAGCGAGCGAAAACAACAGCAAGTTGACCATGTAATCAGATGTGGAAGGGTGATGGGGGAGTTCACAAGAAATGACCCTGAGAGGTATACGTGAGGAGCACCTCAACATGTTGATTTTTAAGGAAGCTATTTACAGGGAAACCAGTAGGATCAAGGAAATCAGAACAGAGGGGCATTTAGCACTACAAGGTGCTGGATGATGGTTACTCACACCATGGAGGATTGTCGAAGAAGCTGCCCCTATGTGAACTGGACACCTCAAAGGCCAGTTGGGACCAGACATCATCTCTCCGTGGGTCCTTAGAGAGGGAAGCCAGAGATGACAGTAGTGGTGCCTGCATTAAACAAAGTTCTTTGACACATCATTTGACCTAAACTGCGCCGGCAACTCCCTGAGGTATGGAATGATGGCCCAAATGCTCAGTCCCAATTTTTAAAAAGGGAGAAGACATGAGGCATTAAACTACAGACCTGTACACTATACGTGTATAGTATGCAAAGCCTATGCTAGATTGATCATCAGATGGAGAGTGGTGGTGCACTAGAAAGAAACAAGTGTATAATTGACAACCAGCACTGGCTTCAGGCGGAAGGAAAAATCCAGGGATCAACTAACCTACTGCGAGTTTAATGGTCAAGGTGAAGAAGTAAGGACAAGAGAGAGCGGGGTGGATCGACTAGCACATTTTTTTGGACTGCAAGAAGGCTTCGATACAGGTTCCTCACAAGAGGTTACTGCAAAAGCTAGTTGAATAAGGCACACATAAAGGAAAGGCCACTGACAATGGGATCAGAGAATATTTGACTGGGAAGGAAGGCTAACAACGAGTCAGGTACGTGACGAGGTGTCAGAGTGGGCGCGCCTGAATGACAAGCGGGGTTCACACAGGGGTCAGTCCTAGGACCTGTGTAACTAGTTTTTGCGTATATTGATTGGACATAACGGAAGGGATTGTCAGAAGTGTCTTGTTTGCAGATGACTGCTGAAGTTAATGAGAGAATTCAAATTGGACGGGATCAGGACAGGACTTACAAAGAGGACCAGGTACAGGCTACAAAGCCTGGATCCAGCAACTGGCTCCTTGAGTTTAACCTCTGCCAAATGTTAAAGTCATGAAGATTGGGAAGGAAGGGCAAAGAAGACTGCAGACACAATATAGCTCTAGATGGCCAAAGACTTTCAACCTCACTCAAGAAAAAAAGATGTTGGGTGAGTATAACACCAAGCATATTCCTGAGGTGCCACATCAATAGATAACTGCCTGCAGCATACGGGCGTCTGGAAACTACGGATAGCGTTCTGATACCTCAGTAAGGAATCGTTCAGACTCTGATTACCATTTATGTAGGCCCATACTGCGAGTCATGTAGCACCAGTTTGCGAAACTCACACCTGGTCAAGCACGTCAAGAAATTAGAGAAGTACAAAGGGTTCTGCAACAAGACTAGTCCAAGCTAAGGGGATTGTCCAATGAAG